AAGCGTGATACGTGCCACCACACCACCTCCCTCCCAAACGAGAAAATAGATAGTCAGCGACATCTCTCACAAGCAAGAACGTTTCAAATGATGACGATTTCGTTTCGCAGGGCCGTTCTTATATTTCTTACTATCCCTACCAATTTTTGGTTATATTGGAAAAGCAGTAAATCAAGAAGGAAGAACATCTTATAACTTCTACGGGAGAGCACAGAGCAAGCGCTGAACAAATCATTTAATGTGGTACGAAGGTGTGCCATTTCAAATGAATATCGGCAATTACCGCTAGTAAACGCCTGCTTTTAATTCACCTGACACTTAACCGCCGTAAACACGATAAGCGCTATTTACAATAATGGAGTCGCTCGGACATGATACAATTTACTAATTTTGATGAAAAGTTTCGTAGGAATTCTCAAGGGGTTGTGAAGTATGTAGTATTCGAGAACCAAATGACCTTGAAGACAAACTGCGCGACTAATTCATCTCTTGAAGTGCTTCTTCGTAGAAGTGACCCGTTTGGCGATCTCAGAAATAGCCATCCCTCCTAAATAGTGATAAGGGCGCTGCACTCGTCGAAAGAACGCCACCAGTTTGTTACACCCATCTTGGAACGAGATATGCTAGCTCACCGGCATCGAAGAATACAAATGTGAAGCCTTACGTTTTTGTTCTGTCTAGGACAAACTCTTATCATCTCGCTCATTTTCCAGCTCTTCTTTCTGTGTCCTTGTCCTTTGGCTCTGTTTTCTGCACAATAGTACGTTGCTCCCTTAAATGTCGTCCGCACTATATCATAAGGTCATTGTTAGGGCGTCTTCGACAGATTTGTCTTTGCAACACGCCATAGTGGCCCAACGCGTGTACTGCGTTCATAATACATGACGAACTTCATAGTATTCCCTCATGAAGAGCTCTGGCCATCGGACTCCATTGTCGTTCGAGTGCACTTTTGACGCCCGTGGAATTCAGACCAGTGAGCCCGTCGCGAGGATCCAGTAGAAAATATCGAGCTGGTGATATACGGGGGGGCAGCCAAAAAAAGACACTCCGCCCGAAACACATATCACTGAAAGAATAACGCAGGCCAGAGAGAAGACGTGGATACGCCAGGATGGAAGATTCCCCCAGTGTGCGGTTTTCCATTCTGGTATGCTCCGTGTTTTCATTTTTCTACACTAGCTTCTGTTGAAGAACCCTCGAGCACAGAGCTATACTTGAGCGACTTGCGAGGCATAGAGGTGCGAAGGAACATCGTGACAAGGGAAGGGATGCCGGGGTAAGTGATCTCACGTGAAAGCCTGATTGAAAGCAGTGGTGCTCATCGAACGCCATGTAGACGAAAGAGCGCAGACATGAACAGGAAATCGACACGGTCAGGGGCAAGCTATATTCCTCACCTCTGTGAACCTATTCTTGCCATCTGCGAAGTGAAAGGGTTTGCAGTAGCGTGACACACTCCTCGCTAAAAAGCGCACGGGAACAGGGCAGAAGGGTAATGCTACCCAGGTGTCGTTTCCATACTCCGCCCGCCGTCGCATCGTTGACGCAAGCCTGACCACAGCCAAACACGCTGCTTGTCTACGTCCTCCCACCTCTAGTTATTCTCCAACTTTGACGGCGTGATCACTCAAGGATTTTGGTGACTACAGAAGTACTGCACGTGGGAATGGCGCGGGTAAAGTCCAGAAACGGTACCCGTGTGTCAATACCCACTATTCTCGTGCACTTCCGAGCGGAGAAAGTGGCACGTTGCTGCAGCTGCACACCTGTCCTCGCACATGGCAAGACCATCCGTGGTGGTAAGTACACAGTTTGTCGTTGAAGAAACCTGGTTCAAATGGCGAGTGAGGTCAGTTAGAAAGGCCAGCAAATGACAAAACACCAGTACAAACAACAACGAAGTTTATTTCATAAATCAACAGAACAATGCAGGCGGATTAATCAAGGTCTTGGTCTTGGTCTTGTACTTCGTGTTCCTTTTGTTGATTGAATTGGATTGATTGTGCCTGCTCGGCCTTGAGAAAATCATCCACCAGTCTGCATAGACCCGAAATAACCGTGACAGTTTTCAGGATCAGCTTACGAACACGCTTCTCATTTCCGTACCCATACTTGAGGGCTGGCTCCAATTTACGCATGTAGCACAAAACTGAAATAAAAAATAAATCTTTTCTCGAAAATTCGAAATGCAGACTAGAAATATCAAGTAGGAATAGTAATCCCTTGGAATTTCAGGAGATGCACTCCATATACGTAGAGTTCCGAAGGTCCCTATAACATCCACCTGAGTTTTGCCGTCCAGGCACTTTGACAAAAGCTCAGCGACACCGCTTACTTTCCTACTTCATATATCTACTACTGCTATACTTTTGAAAAGATTTCTCTTATATTCGAAGAGATCTCCAGTCCAGAGGTAATCTCCATCCACAATTAGGACAATTCCCAACTTTCGGGCAAGCTTCCTGATTCCTCCCTTATTCCTCCCTTCCAAAACTATGGCAACTGCAACGGCACGTAGACATCGATCTCGCCTTCTTCTAATCATTGGTTATCAAATTTCTATCCCTCATGGATACACAAGGGAGCTGAATAGTTGGTGGTAATCAGAGCCTACGATCTCTCGCAAGTAAGCAGGGAGGGGCCATACCTCCCAGCACGTTCACAATTATTCTGAACGTGATGTTGCACGTTTCGCGTTGTCTTGGGGCAAGGAGAATTCGGGCCTCCCTGAGCGGACCCAAGCGCGACGGCGGTGTTCTTTTGAGGTTCATTAGAGTACAGTGAGGCCCTCACTGCAATGCCGGTGCTGAGAGACATCGCTCTGAAGTCCTACCAGTACAACACTGGAACATTTCGGCGATCTGCTCTTGGCTCTGTAGCGACTGTTCTATTCGACGGATTCTGTAGACAGGGTACAGTATCGTGAGGTCGAAATGGCGGTGTCATCAGGAAACCCTCCCCCTACCCACCCCGGCGAGATATTCTGTACGATCTCTCCCCTTCGGTATACCGTTTAGCGTTTTCTTACTACGGGTCATCTGAATTTTTCGCTGTGTAAAAATATTATTGTATGGATTTTCTTCAATACGTAATACATTTGCAATGGCAAGAAAATTCTTACAGAGCGCAGTATATCTCTTCTTTCAAGGAAAGCTACAGCTTTCCTGAAGACATTCCTATGGGCGGAATTCCTACACTTTCTAAAGCTCGACTCCTGTGTCCTCGTAAGAATACCTATCCGAAAACCTTATTATGCCTTGAAAACACATATTGCTGTCGATCTGATCAAGAGATTAATTTGTTTATTATAGATCGATTTCGTCTGAGACTGCGCCATGCATTACGCTCCTCATAAAGGTGGCGAGAGAGTGTAACTTTCGACGGTAAATTTATCTTATCTATTCCGACAGATGTTCTCATAGGGTTCGGAAAAGTCGATACGAACAAGCCTTTTTGTGTAGCACTATTTAGTCACCCACGTATTTATGGATTTATGCTACCTTTTACTTATTGTTAGTTAATTGTTTTGATACTTTGTAGTCTTCTATACATCCGGGTTCTGTACAGTCTGTGGACCTGGTTGCAGTGAACTTGGCGCTGACCCTCTTACGCGGTTCGGTGCTCACCAACACTGCCTTCCCTAATTAGCGTTTAGGTACGAACCCTCTGAGGTTTTTTTGCATCAATGATGCTGTACCCTAGAAACATTATTTCATTTTCGGACCACTGAAGCCTCCACTAATTATGCCTACTCGCTACTTAGTCTGGAAAATCAGGGACAGAGACAGGTGACATTACCGTTCACTCAGATGAGGTGAATGCCATGCTCACGGCTCCAAAAAATTAAACATGTGACTTCAAGTACATCCAAGTGCAACCAGTTCCTGGGGATCGAGCGAAATATAATGTGAAGGAGACCACGGATCCCAAAATAAAAGTGGTTTAATAACATACTTGCACGGCAGTAATGATTCTCCGCGGGAGTCAGCATACTACGAGCAGTCACAGCGAAATCCCTTTCACTCTGGAAATGAGTATTTCAAAGATGACGTTAAAATTAAATCATACATATGGACACACAAGCTATATGGCGTCACAAATCAGACGGGGCGGAGTCAGGAAGGGCGGAGTGAGCTGCCCCCGGTGCCCTTCATACCATCAGTGATTGGTCAGCGATCAATTCAGGAACGAAACTCAGTGGCAGAAGGCGCAGCAGGTAGCGATTCAATTCCTGATGCTCCTGGCCAACGACTGATTGCGACGATATCAACTTGCAATTGATTAGAGACCCCGCTGTTCATTGGGCCTCGGAGCAGCGAATAAAATACAGTAAATAGATTGAATAACTAAGATCAAGCGTACGGTCTGAGCTTCCGCGTCCTTCATTTCCACGCGGTCCAGTGAGATCACCGTCGAGGGCCTTGAAACTAAAGCGCGATGGCTCCGCAAAAAGCTGTAAATTAAGCACTACTGGATTAGATAATGCACGTACAATTTTGCTATTTCAGAACTGTAACTGTCATTTGTTCTGAAGTTTGGAAGATTCATAAATCGTGTGTTTGTGAAAAGCGTGTCCAAGCGGCTGTACAGCACCAAGTCGATTGCCACAGATGGTGAGTGATGCTGGTTGAAAGATCCACGTGTGGCGACGTGAAGAAACCACTTAGTATTCCCTAGTTGATTGACTTTACATACTTTACTACCTCAATTCCAAATCAAAATGATCTTGTTGTGAATGCTGTTCACACGATGATATTTGCAACGCACTTTCGCGGGAACGTGGATCTCCCAACCCACTCCCTCCTGCTAAATATTACTGGGTAACCAAATAATCAAGAAGGCCCACAGTATGAGCTTCTGTTGAGCACTGGCATACCTGCGATATTATTTTTCTATCCTCAGGTTTAACATAATCACTCTTCTCGATGTTTCGTTGAATACGATAACGATTCCTTCCCATCTTCTTCGCTTTTCAGAGATATCGTAACCCAGTTCTGAAATATCATCCTGTTGTTATTTTCAGATCGTCTGACAACCATTGCAAATAATCCAGAATTTGTTATAGTTATTCTGTTGCGCACAAGCTAGAGATTACACTAGAATTCCATCCGATATGATTTGAAGTCTTGCTCGCTACGGATGATGGGTCGTGTAGAGGGGTGCAAGACGCGCCTGCCAGCCCCGTTCTCTACGGTCGCTGAAGTGAGTAAGCGACAATAATTGATGGAAAAATGACTGACACAACAATACGATAGTCTTTTCGCATGCACGAAGGAAAGAAACGGGCTGGCGCCGTGCCAAGCCAATTCTTGGAACGTTCCCGCAGCGAACAACACTGTACAGGCCATCTCTTGCCGCCTGTTATGGAGCGATTTGGAGGTATGGTAACGTTGAAGGGGATGGAAGGTAATGACTACAAGTAAACCTACCTGCTCAAATGAAGGTTTCATTTATCGATACAATAAGTGTGAGCATAAGATGCTACGTTCAAAGGTAAATCTGGGCCTTTTCTCGATTTCCCTCCGTTTTCCAGTTATAGCAAACTATATAGTGTTCATGGCTAGTCCAACGTTTACATTAGTTGGAGCGTACCGGTGCTAGACAGCTGGCGATTGAAAGATCGGGCACGACCGGACCGGTCGCTGGGGTAGTGCGGTCGTTGCTATTGTCATTGGTGGAACTTCTAAGTGGAGTACGGTCGAACGTCCTTTTGCAGCCGATCACCAACCACGCTGGCAGCGGACTCCTGCCCCAGCAGTCGTGCCCACTGCCTTTGAGTCATGGACGCAGGCAGCGTATGACTGAGAGAACGCGTACAGCTAGAAAGCTATACAGTTCCCACACCCCTTTATCTCAACCGGAAAAAAACGTCGCGGCGGCCGTCATTAAAGCTGAAGGCGTGAACGCGCCATTCTCATCTTCTGGGATATGGAATGTAAGGAGGACCACAAAAGGCAAGTACTATCACACAGAACACTAATTTGTAGTAGAAAAAAATAACTCAAAATACAAATGAAAAAATTATGGGATTTCTCCACAGCTAATCATAATAAGGAGGATCAGTACCGCTTGCAAACGCGCGAAATCCGTGGCAAACCGGTCACCAGTCCCTTCTAAAGGCTAGAGAATTCAATAAATATTTCATTGAAAGGTTAGATCGAAACCATCCACAAGTAAGCAGCACCCACAACATTCCCTAGGAATGGTACAAGGGACGGTAAAGAATGATGGCCTATCGCTGTCAGTGAACAATGATCGGCACGAATATCGATCGGCCCACAATTTGTTTGGTTCACTATCAGGCTTTCTTTAAGGGACATGTACATGCTACAACTAGAATGTTGGCCATGCCGCCGTAAAGGTGCATAGATTGTCGCCTTGCGCGAAAGTGCCAAGGGTACGATTGGTGGGTGAAAAACCCACCAATCACAGGCGTGGCTTGTAGAGCCGTGCACAGATGAAGAACTCCATGTTCTTGGGAATAAAGCAATATATCGACTGCCACAGACAGCTCAACATCAATTCGGAAAAAAAGTAAAGAAACAACAAATGTTTATGCAAAAACTCATTGAATAACAAAATAATAAACAGAGCTTAACTTACATGAAAATAGGAACACGCACATGAAAATAGAAATAATAGAAGCATGAGAACTCATAAAAAGATGTCCACATATATAACACTGATTTCTCAACGGAAACAAAACTGGTAAAATACCAGCTAACCCAGTATGTGAAGCTACAGATGGCAATTCCCAAGAAGAGGCAGATAATGGGTCAAAGGAACGTTCCGCGATGACCATGTGGGCGGAGTCACTGGAACATCTGGGATTTTTCTTTTGGTACAATTCTTTTCTGTTTCATCTGTGGAGGTGTACTGCTTCAGTGGGAAAGATGCACTCATCCGAGTGACTCCACTCAAATGATTAGCATTCTGTAGACATCAGAGAGTTTAGATAGCAATAAGACAGCTTCCATACTTCGCGACTTGAACGATTCTCTTATGCGATTCGAAGAACGCCACCTACTATGCTCCATCGTTAATCGTTGGACCGCTGCAACCGTTTAGACAACTTCTATATTGAGCGTGGTTGAACCACCAGTTGCAGAGGCCCAGTGATTAACAGTGAGCCCGGTCTGAAGTGGGCACACGATTCTCAGAACGCGATTGATCGCACGAGTCGCAAAGTATGAACGCAAGTCTAGGACAATTCTAATTCACAAACATTACAGGCACTCTGAAAATCGAGCGATAGCGAAAACTGAGTGACATTCGTTTGAAAAAATGAATGAGCAATCTACGTGTGTATAGTCGGAATGTCTTTATTACTGGGTCTAACCAATGTAGGGAGCACGTACTTTCCTTTGTGGAGAAAATAGTATGGTGGAATATCGAAAAATGTGAAGCTTTGAGCTAAAGCCAACCAATCTGATACTCTGGCAGCTCCATCCTGCAACTGTATTTTAGCTCAAGTATAGCTCTCGAATGAAGAACCACTTTACGCATAGGGCGTTTTTATGGGACACACCACGGATAAGATTGGAAACCCAAAGAAGATGAAATGCCGTGCATGAGCCTAGCAGTCCTTCCTGCAGCACATCCACACAAAAATTTTACTGTTTTACATACAGCCAAAGTACTCGAAGACAAACTGAGCAAATTCTTCCAAAAAGATCGTGTTCTTCTCCAAGTCGGCAGAAATGGGTCCACAGCTGCAGTAGCGTGACACATTCAGCGCTCAAATGTGCATGGGAACGGGCTGGAGGGTACTGACAGCCGTGTGTGGTTCCATACTCCCCCCGCGCTGACGCCGGGAAGCCGCGCGCCTGACAGTAAGCGGATGTACTACCTGTCTGCGTCTCCTCACTCCTATTTATTCTCTGCCACTGCGTTGTCCCTGCGGGATTCTGGTACCGAGGCAAGTGCTGCACATTCAGGATGGCGAGGGCGGATTCAACGGCACCTGGTTGTCACTACTATCCTTCATCGTCACTTCAGGACCGTCCTTGGAAATGAATGCACAGCCTCTTCAAACAAGATCACCCTCTCACTGTACTTGTAGGATGATTAATAGATTTACCCCGCAGCAATACAAAAATTAAGTGAACCAGATGGCACCCTTATGTTCTGAGCCGAATGTCATGACAAAGAAAAATCTCACCCAAGAAAGCAGCCACTAAGGCATTACCCGCCATTTTCATGACAGAAGGCCAACTTGATCGATCCTTACTTCGCCTGTTTCTGTTTTGAGAAGAGAAACGATTGAACATCTCCAAGTCTTCACCAAAGCCTACCCATCCTTGGAAAAGGACTAACCATAGGGCTTTTCTTCAACACGACCACACCACAACAAACTTCCTCTTGTGGTGGAAGGGGGGGGGGAAGGAGTGCACCTCTGACTTACAACCACCACACGAACTGTTTCACTGCCAAGCCGCCCAGAAGAAAAGCGGAGATGTATGTGACGCGGATCAGAACAATCCTTCCCCCTTACATAGGAAGCAAATGCAATACTCCTCATTCAAAGTTCCCACAATAGTCGTGCACCCTCTTTCAGAGATCTATCGATGATAGTGGGCATTACCTTGGCAGACGGATTTCGCTCTTTCAGGACTGCTTTACTTGTTGGCAGACTCCCGCTGACGTTGCAATTAGGTCTGAAATGCGTTATTAGTGAGAGTGATACATAAGCACCGTAGATTTGAGTACCTTCTCGAATAGTTCCACCGCATGAACCTGATTGCGATGTTTTCCTTGTTTGCTTCTGCCCAATTCGTGCCCTCTGCCGACATCTAGAGTTCACAGTTACTCAGCTAATCTTTCTGTATACATATTAATTGAGGAATAGTCGAATATTCGTTCTTTCTTCTTCCCCTTACTTACTATGGGTAACTTTTTTACTTAATTCGCTGTATATTCCTAAGTTTTGTATTTCGTCACTATATCGATGAAGGCGGTATGTCTGGACGAGCTTTCCACGTGGTGAATGTCACCCATACAGAAAGAAATGAGGACGTAGAAAAGCTACTTCCTACCTCAGAAGAATCACTACCAGTTAAGGATCTTGTAGATCACTATCATCGATACTGCTATGAGTTGCACTCACCTCCTGCATAGCGGCAACATCGCAAGGGCCTTCAGTACGTTGAGAAGAACCCACATGCAATCAACCAACTTTAGCCAATCAATAATCAAAATCGATGAATGCCAACCATATCAATCAGCGCCGGGATTCCGGGAATCGCGAGAAACCGATTATGTGGGGGAAGTCCGGCTTAGGCACCCATACATATACCTGCGAATTACATGTACCTGTACATGTACCTGTACCTGTACCTGTATAGTCACCCCGAGATACACCTACTAGTCCCACTTAAAGTCTACAA